GGGGGGGGGACGGTAGCCCGAGAGAACAGGGCAGGGTGGGAGAGGGCACGAAGCGGGATCTATCTAAAGGCACTCGTTTGTTGTTTATTACTACTTATCATCCGGCCAAAAACTGATACTTAGCAAAGGTTTGACGTCCACCGAGGACGCAAAATAAAATTTTATAAGTGAAAAAGTGTTGATTTTTTTTCTCAGGCTAAAAAAGAAGAAAGCATCGTACCGGCGAAATTCGGTACGTATCGAAGTCGGTTATGTGATAGGTCCTGAGTGCATTTGTGAGTGTCACAGGAGCTGGAACAGTCGAAAATCTCCAACGAGTCAGGTTAAAAAATCTTTGCAATCTTGATAGAAACCCGCCTTTAATAACCCCAGCGAGAAAAGTAAATAAAGAAATGATCTATTCTTGCATCTGAAGAAAACGATTGCGAAACATAACTAAAGGAGATAATCGTTTATGGCACTGTCTGACGATAACGAAAACAGGTGTAAGCACCCGGGAGGAGGCCTGTTGCGTATTGTGTCTTAATTTGACCATCCTTTTTTTATCTTTAATTGTTAATAGTAAAACGAAATTTTACTGAGGTTCAGGAGAGCAGACACTCGGAATAGCAAAAGCTTCCAGATCTCTTGGCTTTACATTTTCGCTCTGTGCAGTTGCCAGAGGAAAAAAAAACATTTGTAAAAATGTAAACCATCCTTTCAACTTCGATGAATACTTCAAGTAGAAAGCTGATGTATGAATGCTATTCTAATTAATTCGTTTAATAAATTCTAAAACGGATATGCAACCAGGTATCTGCCGGCATAATCCACAAGATATAATTAAAGAAACAAGGAAAAACTCACTCGGCCGCTTGTGTGTAAATACAAACAGATATTCTAATTAGCCGAAATTACCATTCGTACTCAACAAAGACCAAAATAACTTGGTTGTAAACACATTTCCGTCAGATCGGAAGCGTATCTTGACCGATGAAAGAAAGTCTTTTAAACAAATTTTCTATGAATTGATTAATTTTGCTGTTCTAATAGATTCAGCCTAATCAAAGCTATGGAGACTTAAACGCCGATAGCCTAAGATGCGTTATGTGATGAACCTCGTGAATAGCGAGAAAAAACAAAATAGAAAAACCAGACAATAAGAAAAAGCTTAAAAATATAAGAGCGAATGCAGTGCAGTTATGCTTTTTTCTTACCTTGAAGCGTAAAAGTCGGTCTCCAAAAGAGAACAGCTTCAAAGAAAGTGCACGGCAGGAGTAGAGAACACAATTTCATTCTCGGAGATTTTTTGAAAACTCCCTTTTCAGATCCCTTTGCGAATTGAAATAACCCTGATGAAACAGTTTCATAAAGGCACACCAGGGTAAGACTTATTATAACTAGACTGCCAGGTACCAAACACCTGCTTAGAAGAATGAGAGACAAAACAAAATATGCAATCGGTTTATAAAGAAAACTCATGTTTGAGGTTTGGAAAATCAATGAGATGATTTGCAATTAGTTGCAAAAACATGCGGCCCTAAGTTGTTACGGTTGACCATGTTGTGAAAGCCGTGTTGTGAAAGCCGTGTTGTGAAAGTTGTTTTGTGAAAGCCGTGTTGTGAAAAATTTTCTGAACTCACAGAAATAGAGTGGATTTTTATCAAAATACTCATTATGTAGATTTCGCTCAACCGACAGGGTCCAAGTGTCTACAATACAACTGTGGGATTGTTAATTAGCCCCCAAGGGAGTATTGACAAGCTTGATAGAAGATTGCGTGCCCTGTCACTGCCTAGACACCAGCTCACTTGACAAAAAAAGAAGAAAAAATTTAATTGATACAAAAATCGTGGATAATGGAAATGATAGTGGAACGACAAAAATGATTCAGAATTAGTGTTTGAAAACGCGTGCTCCTGAAGTCTTCGTTTGTGAGTTTAACGGTTTGGTGCGAAAAGCAGTAGTGCGCTGTTATTTATTCCCCTAAGTTCTGCCCCAGTTTCAAATTGGAAGCTTTTGTAAACATTCGGGAGCTCGAGGCATGTAAACGACGGCACCCAGGCGTTCACTGCATAAATTGGCTCTACCATGAGACCATCTGGCGTGCAAGAATAGATATTGGTCGATAGAACCTGAAGATATTTAAAAAAATGTGAGCTATGGAATAGCAGTACGAAAAAAAGGGAATTCCCCGCACCCCTCTTGCACAATATAAACCATTCTGTACATTGGTAACTCTTGGAATAGCTTTGGAATGAAATTTCATTTGAAAATGGAATTTTGTGCCAGGGCAAATGCCTTTTCAAAACCCCAGGGTTGTGTTATTTCGCCTCATAAATAACTGTATTCCAGTCGATAGATCAAACTTATCTTTAATGGAGCAGAATAACATAAATATAGATTACTTCATGGTTGAGAGCGTGAAGGATTTGCACGAGTTGTAAAAAATCGCAAACGAACGAGCGAGTCTTCGAGCGAGTGAGTTTATGATACTTCAAAACAAGTGTATAAAA